CACTTTGTATGTCCTATCTCTCTCTAACGTTAAATTGTGTAATATGTTTTCACTTTTTAAAAATATAAAATCAGGTTATATCTTAACTGACTATTTAAGTGAACAGAGTTTAGTGATACGGTATATCAATAATAACAACATGCAGTACATGCAGTGTAGACTAAAAGAAGATTGTATAATTTTTACCTCTAACTCTTTCTGCAGCAGAATCTGGTCTTTGTTGAACACCTCTTCATCCGCAGCCCTACAGGGACAAACACAATGTTCATTCTCTGCAGTAGAACAGTCTTTATACTAATTATGATATAAATACTCGGCCTGACGGCGGTGTAGTATTTGTTGGTCCCACTTCATAAAGGTGTGTCTCTCACCTGCCTGCTCTCTTCAGCCTCTCTGAGCGGAGGTTCTCATAGTGCAGATCCTGAGTTACTTCCTGTAGGTCTTGCATGTGGGTCCTGCAACAGATAGAGGTGCAGTAATTTATTCACACACTAGAAGGCAGCGGAGATCCGTTTGTACGGCAGGCGTTTTACAGGCTGTTTCGATGAGGAGAAAAAGGGGTTTTGTGAATTTTTAAAAAAAGGAGTTTTACTGTCAAACTCACACAAGCATGGTGCGTAGTTTGAGGAAGTCGTTGTGCTCGGGGTTCCCCACCTCAACAACTCCCCAGGGGTAAAGACGACAACAAATCTTCTTTCCCTTCACCTCGATCAGCTGGTTGGAGCCGATCACAGCGAAGGGAATACTCGCCTACGACAGTGACGTAGACATCGGTGAAACGAGTGTCATAGAGGGAAAAAAAGTTGTAAAAACTATATGGAAACATTGATAGAACCCAGAACTCATGGTGTCTCCCCACAGTTAGTGATGTGTCGTTCGCGAGTGATTCGTTCAAAATGAACGAAACTTTCATATGAGTCGTGACTCCCGAGTCATATGAAAGATAAGTGACTCGTGGCTAACGAGTCATATTAAATATTTATTCATATTGAACTCACAAATCACTCACAAATCACTCACTGCGAACTAATCACACTCTGCGAACTAATCACTCACTACGAACAAATCACTCTCTGCTAACTAATCTTTCACTACAATCTAATTACTATGCAAACTAATCTTTCACTGTGAACTAATATATAATTGCAAACGAATCACTCTCTGCAAACTAATCTTTCAATGTGAACTAATCTTTCACTACAATCTAATTACTCTGCAAACTAATCTTTCACTACGATCTAATTACTCTGCAAACTAATCTTTCATTGTGAACTAATCTATCATTGCAAACGAATCACTCTCTATTGTGGATAAACATATAACCAGCTTGATATATATATTCATGTTTAAGGAATTATAAAGGTGTGCTAAAACATATAACCAGCTTGAACATAAAATGCTGCTTAAAGCTAAAACTGAAAATATGCAGATGTAGAGAAAAGGAGCTGCAAGGTTGAGTTAAACCCAAGGTTTGTTGTGACAAGAGGAGTACTTGGTGTGATGTGATTTTCTGTGACAGAAACTTTTAGAATACAATTTGA